CCTGCACCAGGGAGGGGACAGCCAGAAGCAGCAGCAAAACCAGGAAAAGGCAGCAGGTCACTGGAGAAACTTCACACTGAGGAAAACCTTATACTCCCCCTGTCCAGGGCATGTTTGGAGGCTGATCATTTGGCTTTGTCACCCAAGGTAAAAACACCCTGTCTCAGTGTCTGGAGACAATAAAGCTCTGGAGCTAGTCAGAACTGGTAGGAAAGGACCTTGGAGGACAAAAAGAAAGTTGGAAAAGCTAATGAAGAAGTGAAGCCATATGCGTTTATAGGCAGACCTTGTGAAAAGCAGCTCCATACATTAAGCTGGGAGAAAGGTAGTGCTCAGCTCTCCCCTGCACAACAGCCAGGTTTCCTCCCTTGTTTCCCTCTTCTTTTCTTTGCCAGCGCTTTTTCACAACTTCAGATGCATTTTCTTTGGACTTCAAATAGACTGATCTCTAAATCAAGATGGGAAAGTTTTGCTGGCATAGCCCAGAAGGAGTGTTATTACCCAAGTCACAACTTCCCTCTTCAGCCAGCAAATAAGCCAGGGATTAGGCAAGGAGCCTGCTGTAAATCTACCCTAATCGCCTTGGTGGATGAGAAAGGCTGCTCAGCCCTCCCTGCCCTCTGGTTAGTGGGGAAGATACCAGAAGGGCAGTAAAACCATGGGTCTACTCAGAAGGAAGAGACCCCGAGATATTGATGGAAGGTTTTAAGCATTAGACACACAAAGGGACACCTCTCTTCATATCAGAGTGGAACTTCAGACTATCCTACAGTCCCTTCAAGGGGGAAGGCTGGGAGGGAGGGGACAGAGGACTATCACTTTACAGCCAGTTCAAAACAACCTCCCAACTCTTTCTCCTTTGCAGCTCAGTGCAAGAAGGGCCTGAGGGCACTGTAAGTCTCCCCCATGGCCTCTTGCTGCCCTCCCCAGGGAGAAGGACCCAGCTGGGTAGATCTGAAGACAGATCCATCCCCATTGCTGTTTCTGCTCAAGCAACATGCAGAGATCTTCCTCAACCACGTGGCCTGTGCAGCCAGGATGACGTCCACCAGCCACAAAGGCTGTGCAAGGAGCACTGTCATGTTGGCCTTTCCTCAAAGCATCTCTTGAACAACCAGACTTGAACAATCATTTACAGTTGGCAAAGCAAGGAGAAACATTAGACCCCACAGTCGGGCTTCTTGTCCAGCAGAGCTGGAGCCAGCCTGGGCAGAAGCAGTCCCAGAGGGAAGGGCAGCAGCAGATGGACATCGTGTTACAGCTCTTTCTGCGCTGTGCCTGGAGCCAGGCAAGGTTGCAGGACTCAAGAGAGAAGAGGGCCTAAGGAGCATTGTGCCGCACATCCATCATGTGCTACAACAATGCTGCACGAAGCTGGGGAGACTGGTGGCACTCAGTGCAAGAAACCTGAGCAACTGTGAGCAGAGGAGCTGGGCTTTAGAGAGGAAATTCACTGTTTTAACTTGTTCCCTTACACACAGAGAGAAGCAAAAAGACTTATTCTGATATCCCTGGTACCCCTCAGATCAGGAGGCTTTAGCTCTTAGGAAGACCTGTACTTCTGGTGGGGTTTTGGTCACAGGGTTGGGCACTGCTGGGGAAAAGTTGCCTTCCCACTGAGGGCAAGTCTTAGTGCCTCAACTGCCCTTTTTGTAGGAAGGAGAAATGTCCCTATTCCTGCATGGGGACAGCAAGGAGGGACGGTTTTGGACAGTTAATGAAGAGCTTCAAGCTCTCCTGGTGGAAAGGGTGAGGGAGACCAGCAGCACTGCCATTTCCCACACCTCCATACCCAGCAGCATGGACCCTTTGCAAGGAAGAATTAGCAGCTCTCAACATGCTTATAGCAAAGACTTCTAACCCCTTTCAAATCCTAGCAAAGCATTAAAAAAACCCCAAAATTTCTAAAATTTAAAAAAAAAAATTACATTCTCCAAACGCATCAAGCTGGGTTCAAGCAAATCAGCACAAAACAAACAGCAACTGTGGGAATTCCTGTGCCGTCCCAGACAGCGGTGGGACGAGTGGCAGCTTTAAGCTCTGCACTGCCAACAGTTAAAGGAGGCTCCCTTCCCCTTGATCATCCCAACCGCTTTGCTAATTTGGTTTCTGTGGTCTGCAGCAAACTCATATTCCAAAAAGCTCCCACCTGGCCACAAAGTCAAGACAGCCCTGATAGACAAGCAGTTAGGAGTTGTTTTGTTCTTTCTTTGTGCCTCTACAGCAATGAATCACAGCTAGTCCAACTTTGAAATCAACTATAAACAGCGAGTCCCTTCTCCCGCAAATGTAAAAACCAAACAGACCCAGTTTTGGTATTTACCCAGCCAAGCAAGGCAAACAGATCAAGCCTCTAAGGGAGGCACAGATGCCTGCCGCTGGAAACGTGGCTTTACTGAGTTGCTACAATAATAACACAAACAGTAAGGAACTCGGAAAATGCCTTCAGCATTTGCATTGCTTAACTATTGCCAGCAAGCGGTGCTTCCAACACAGGTATAAAGTTCAAAGCTAAAGTACCACTTGGAAAGCACATTTTGAAGGGGGGAAAAAAAACAGTCATTTTCATTATCAGAGGGAAGTTAGAATCAGCATTACTATTCTGCTGTCTGCAGACTAAAACCACACTGTGCAAGGTGCTGTATACAGCAAAAGCAACTTGCAAGTAAAGAGCACCTTGCCTTTGCGCTATTCAGGGCTTGGTTGCCTTGGCTGGATTATTTTTCTTCTCTTAAAAAAAAAAAGGCACTGGTTTTTTTTTTTAATATTCTCCTACCTTTACAACCTCCTTAAAAAATGAGAAAAATAAAATTAAGCACTATGTTAGTTCTTACAGGCAAAGAGACCTTGCAGGGGTCTGAAATCACTTTGCTCTAGAAAAGTTTGAGCGCGCTGCGGTCGTTATGCAAGTGAAAGGGAGGAGGGAAGAAGCTGAAGCCGTGCCAATATCCACAGTGGACAACTTCTACATTACGCAGTGAGATTTAAAGTAAGCTGCAAACTTTAAACAATCTCCTTCCCTTCAGCTCAGGAAGTTAATTTCAATGTGAGCAATATCAAACCTTAAATCCTTCCCTAGTACTGTTTAGTCAGTTGCATCTCCCATGAAGACAATTTCATGGATCCCAGGTCTTTCCTCAGGTATTTTATTGCCTGAGGCCCGTAAGAGATATTTACCAGGCTCAAATGCAGTTAAATGCATGCACGCCTAGCTCAGCCTGCTGGCAAGGGTGGGCAGCAGGGACTTTTGCAAGGTTCAGAATGACAGTATCTCTCCTGAGATTCAACTACCCAGGCCATCTGAAAGGGGAAGAAAATAATCTTCAAGACCCTGTCTGTTTTAGGCAGGTGATATAATAAAAAGATGCAAAAGAATCTGGGTGGCAGGGAGAATAAAAAAAAATTATTAATTTTTTTAGTAAAATAAATGGAATCTGTAATCATCACTTCATTAACAGAAGAAGAAACTGGGACAGCTCCAAGGCAGAAAGGGATTGACACCCAGCAGGGCTATGCTGCAGGCTTGCTGCCCTGGAACCCATTTCCTTCCCTGCATACCCTGTTTTTGCCTGCTGACAACCCAGGAGCATTCACCCTGTTTTGGGATTTTCCCATTTCTCCCACCAGCCCACCCCACCTTCTCCCACAGTACCCTTCATCCACTATAGTGCTGCTGCAGGAGATCTCAAGACTTATAAGATGGAGTTGAAGGTGTCACTACAACTTGCATTTTCTTGACCCCAGACACCAGCTCAGGAATTCCTGAATAAGGCGAGAGATCTGCTTGTACACTTAGATATGCTCACACACTTCAAAACATGGCAGGTGTGGGGCTCCTAAGGGCAAGGCACGCGTTGCCCGCTTTTGCCAGTGCATCATCCAGCCTTGCTGACAGGTGCCCATTACCACACTCATTTCAGAGGCTGGTTATGATTCTGGACCAAACCCTTCCTCGGGCTCCTAGCACATCCCAACTCCTCTCCACCCCAGAAAGGCAAGGCTGTAAGGAAAAGAAATCTCTGTCATACCAGCTAATACAGGCAGAAGAAGGAACAACACTTTTTGGATCACAAGCCCTTCTGAAAGCTCAGATCCACATGGCTAAAGGCTTGCCTTTTTTCTCCAGTAATATTAATTTAGCTATCAGGAGACTTTATTCCTCCTTACAAGTCTCACCTTGCTTCCATCCTGAGACTAACTGCAGCAATATCAGTGCTTCATAGACAGCAGCTTTCTACCTGTTAATCACTTTCTTATCAATTTCTACCCTCCTTAATCCCAAATAACCCTTCCCTGAAAAATCAACAGGACTTGTTTGCAAATCACCAGAGCTGGGTCACCCTGATTACAAAGCTCTCGCACTGTGTGAAGCTGCTTTCTTTTAAGAGCGGCAGCATTTTAGGGGGACCCAGCTGAGCCCTCTATCCTCCCACACAAGACCCAATGTCCTCCTCTTCCTCATCAAAAACAATCTTACTTATTAAAGCATAAGATAGTGTGTCAGTCCTTTTGTGTTTTCCCCAGGAGCATGTGCATCTTCATCTTTCAGCTCCTCCAACTGCTAGATTTCTCCCCAGACAGTCCTGCCGTCAGTTACAGAGAGATGTAAACCCACAGTCACTCCACTGAAACCTATAGGATTGCTCTGGCTTTCCACCACTTGTGAGGAATTTTCACTTGCAGGTATTCTCTGTCTGCACACCAACTCACTTCTGCTGCAGTATCAACCCAACAGATGCGTGGCCTGTTGGGCGGTCCTGCGCTTTTGGCTGCAGATAGCCAAAGCCAGATATCCCTATCCCAGTTTTGCTACACCAGTGTTTGGTCCCCACTTCTCACATACAACTGTGCTAGCTGTTCACGTCTGCCTTTGACTTCAGACCAAGCCAGGGCTGCTCAAAACATCTTCAAACTAAGTCACTTACACAGATATCCACCCTGCTTTATTCCTTATGTCCCATCCCTTTGAAAAACCAGGCTCTAAAACAGGCAGAAGAGTTTTGTGGCCACTGACCGCTTAAAAGCACATCAGCTGACAGTTCGGTGCTGTCAAACACATCATGAGCAGAAGCTCCCTATCAGCTGCTGTCATGGGCTGCCACAGCATCGTGCAGCCCTGCTGATAAGACCCTGGGGAACCTGCAGCCAACAGCAAAGATACACTGCCACAGTTTAAATTCTGGCTACTTCTGCTCTGTGTAATGCAGAAGGAAAACAAAGTGAGGTCAGGATAATGACACTTGGAAGTATTTCAGTGCCAAGAAGCTATTCAGGGCATACAGAAAGGAAGTTTTGCATGATCTCCAGCAAAACACTTGCAGGTTGCACAGAGACTTTTTTGCTCCCTGGACTTTGCAGACACATGAAAGCCCCCAAACACCCACCAAGCTCTGAGAGCCCACCCTTTGACAGCAACCCCAAAGCTTGTCCTGTGTCAGCTTGCATGAATTCTTTTCCTGTGGATAAGGACTTCTCTAGTCCCCACAGGGCAGGGTGCACTGGAGCTGGGTTCATGCCCAATGCAAAACCCTGGCAGCAGCACAGCCCCTTCACCAGGACAATTTCCCCTGCACCCAGAAGTTAGAGAGCATCCCTGCACCACAGCATGGACTCACCACCAGGATCAGCGTCCCCAGGCACTCAGCCAGCGCTTGCCGGACTAATTTGTTTCTGATCCTCAGGTGGTCATCAATAGTGGCAAGAATGTCCTTTTGCCTTCCCATCGTAGCAGAGGTGCCCTTCAAGCAGCGTCAGGAAAAAGGCAGAAGCTGGTAAAGCCTCAGCAAGACTTCTTCACCAGCAGAGCTGCCTTTGCTTATAAATAAGTCCACGATGCCTGACACGCCTCCTGGGTAACCACACCCCTTCCACCCTCTCTTCAAACCCAACTTTTTTTTTTCCCCCCTCCTATTCAGTGTGAGACAGAGTGGGTGGTTTTCTTAATTTTCTTTATTGCTTGCATAGGTGAGCAAAGGATACAGGAGTTGCAGAAGAAGGAATTAAATGTGACAAAGATGTCCTGCTCAAGCTCCTGCTGTTTTCATCTCTTACCGCCTAAAACATGGGGCCGTATCTGCCACTCCCCAGCTTCAGCAGAGGTCCTAAAAGCTAAATGCATGGGCTGAGCAGTGTCTTAACCCATTTGTGCAACCAGAGCACCCTGCTTTCAGCTTTCCTTCCCTCCCAAATTCCCGTAAAGGACGGCAAGGTGATGAGTACTCCTGTGCTGATCCAGAGGCTGCAGGTGTTTTTGCAGCAAAATCATGGGGCTGGAGGGCTCAATCCCCCACACCCATGCTGCAGGCTGAGGCCAAGGCACCTCCTGACTCCAGCAATTACCCAGCTGAAGCTGGTATCAAGAAGCAAGACCAGACCTCTCTCCATGAAAAGATGCATCTGGGTCCAAACTCTCGTGTACTGTGACAGTTTCTCTCCTCCTCCCAGGGCTTTCGGAGAGCCTTTCCAGCCCCAGCGCCCAGGAAAGCTATGAAGAGAAGTGGTGAGAGGTCCCAGGTGCAGAGGTAATCCTTCATCCTAGGACCTTGATGAGGAGACCACTGATTCACTAAGCCTCACAGGAACCAACCCTTGTTGCCTTTTTGACTTCAGCAACATCCTGCATCACCCTGGGACAGTTCTATGGGATAGTCCAAATGAAAGCTGTCCCAGTCTGTACCATCGGGGGTGAGGGTGCTAACAAGACGCATGCCACTTGTGGCATCTGGTTTCTATTAAGTCGGCAGTAAAAATTCCCTGGGATCTTTGACTCACCAAGGCTCAATGCAGAGCAGCAGGGCTGAATTTGCAGGACTGAAGGGGATCCCTTTCCTGGATTTGTTCCCCCGCCTCCTCTGCAAAGCCACAGATGCCCAGCTTTTTTTTTTTTCCCCCTTATTTAACCATCGACTTTCCTGTTGGAAAAGCAGAGCTTTTTAGTGCAATGTTGAATGGGCCTTTATTTCATACAGAAACTGCAGCCAGCCCAAGGAGCAGAGTCAGGAATGTGGTTAAGAAAGCAATAACGTGTGAGGACTCAAATGCAGGGAAACACTTGGGTCCAAACATAATTACAGGGACAGGAAACTTTCCTCATTACTTTGCTCTCAGGCCCAGTCTGGTAGCACCAGCATCAATGGGGTCCTCTGAACCACAGCGAGCACTGGGTCAGCCCCGTGCATGCTCCCTGAGGCTGGGGTTTGCAAACCAGTGCTCAGAACATCCATTTTTTACCTTCTCTCCCTTTCTCTCTCCTCGCCTGTTGCTGTGCAATCCCCCGAGCCACGGAGATCTACAGCTGCCCCTCTGCCTCACTTCATGCTGCACTCCCCTCTCCTTTACACTCCTCTCTGTCCTTTTCACCTTGACTCCATATTGAAGCCATCACAGACAGAAAGGAAGCTGCATGTTGGGTTTTTTTCCCCGTTTGTCGGTTCCTAAGCTAAGATCTGTGGGCTGCTTTGCCATTTGTTGAACCGGCAGTGTGCAGATGCATGCAGCTTTATTAGGATTTATTTAGACTGGGTCCTGGATCCTGTCCCTTCCCTCGTGGTGGGTACAGGGCCATAAGATCAGAGAGAGACAAGTGAGGAGCAAGAGGGATGGAGAGGTGTGATCTTCTCCAGGTGGATGGGTATATTTCTCCTGCCTGCAGCATCTGAGCCCCTCCAGCTACGAGCTGAGGATACAGATGTTTCCTTACGACTGGTGAAGGGAGGGGAGGTGTCTGGCTCCCAGGTCAATGCTAGAAGATGGTGGTAACACCAACATCAAAGCTGGTGCTTGGAAAAGTCTAGACAGACACAAGCCTGAGGTGCTGGGGTGGGGTGGGCACTCTGACACTAGCTCTGCAACTGACTCACTGCCTGATACTCAGCAAATCCTTCACTTTTCCACACCTCAGCTTCTCCATCAGTAAATTGGAGAGAGTGACATCGGATTCCCTTCTCGGGGCGTTGTGAGGGTGAATCACTGGAGCCCAAAATCCAATGACTTAAAATGAGCAATAGGGACTTATGCAATTGCTTTCACAACAGGCAGCCACATTATTATCTAGGAAGGAGCTTGGGGAAGGGACAGTGATGCAATGTTGGAAGAAGCTGAAGATCTTTTCAGAAGCAATAACTAATCAAAGTGTGGGTAAGGGCTGAAAGACCCCAATTCTGGAGCTTCTCCGTGCCAAGGCAGGAACTGGCCTGCCACACCATTCACCTGGACCCCAGGTACAATGGTCCAAGCTCAAAACAAGGATGTGTGTCAGCAGCAGCTTCCAAACAAGCCCATCTCCTGCAATAACTATTTCACAGGGTACTGGTACCCAGCCTGGTGTTTAGAAGTCCACAGGTCAGTAGAAGTAAAGGAAGGATGTAGAAGTAAAGAAGGAAGGATGTAGCAGTAAGACTAACAAGGTAGGACCTCAGAGCTGCTGAGCTTTCGTAGTGTTGGGTGGATACATCAAGATGTCCATGCCTTTAGCATTGCCTTGCAAGGACATGCAAAAATTCTATTTCACAGCACAAAGACTTGAAAAAAAAGAAAATTCCAAACCTCTGTCACAAAAACTCATGCCCGAACTCCTGGTGGTGCCAAAGCTACTGAAGCCCCAGCAAGGAACTTCTGTTGTCAGTAATGGCCTGACTCAAGCATCAGGTGTTAAAGTGCCCAGAGTGAACTACCCCTATCAATCTGTACACTGTCAAAAAATCAAGGCACTGGAGGGGCAGGGGGCAATGTAGCACTGTAATTTATGGAAACTGCTGGTTGCCCAGAGGAAAACTCAAAGAGAAAAAGGAAGCTCGGCTCAGGA